TAAAAGTGCAAGCAGCTCACAGTAAGTGCCTTAGGGCTGGTATCTTGGTGGAAATTTTGATTTTAGTGTTAAAAAATATCTCATAGCCTTTCTGGGAAAAGGTGGGGTTATTGCTGCTTGTAGGATGGGATTGTGCATCAAAGAATAAGAAGAGAGTACTTCCCAGGTGGCGCTAGTGATAAAGAGACCACCTGCAGGAGGATTCTTGCAGGAGATGCAGGAGACACGGGTTCCATCCCTGGGTGGGGAAGATCCCCTTGAGAAGGGAATGGCAACCCACTCCAGTATTCTTGCCTGGAAAATTCCATGGACAGAGAAGACTGGTGGGCTACAATCCATGGGGGTCACAAAAAGTTGGACATGACTGAGCAAGCAGGAAGAAACCTTATCCTCTAGTTATGAGCCCTTGTTTAATTTCAGTTTCTTCTCCTGTAAAATTGGAATAACATCACCTACCTTGTGAAGATTCAATGAGATGAGGCGGGTAAGGTGCATGCCTGTGTCTAGGATGTAAGGGTGTGATGTGAGGGGGTGTTACAGGCAAGGGAACTGGACAAGATCAGGGACTCCTGGCCCTGGCTACGGGGTCCCCTGGGAGTGCATGCAGCCTGCTCTGCCAGTCACCTGTGCACAACTGGGGTGGAGCAGCTAGGCCCCCATCACCCCAGGGGACCTGTTGCAACGCCTCCCCTGGTACCTCCCCAGAGGAGACCCCTGCTTCCTTGGCTGGAGGTGTCTTTGGCTAGGCAGCATCACCTGGCGGATTTGTGTCCTGGGTTTGGAGGCTGAGAGTTGGCCTGCTGTGGGCTGAGCCTCTCTCCACCTCTGCCTGGCCCTGACGGGTTACCGAGCTCCTTCCAGGCCTCAGAACTGTGGCTGCACGTGAGAGAGGTCAGGTGGACTAGAGCAGCTGCACCCCATGAGGGCCTTTTCTTCAGTTGAAGCATGTTTAGAGAATTGGGGGCACTCCAGGAGACCCAAGGTCTGGGACTGTGGGAAGAATCGCCTGGAAACAGATGCGCTCACTGAAAGGTGGAGGGGGTTCCCTGGCGTGGATAGCACCTGCAGGACCCACCTGAGCCTCCCGTGCGTGGCCCAGATGTGGCTGTTTGCCTCCATATCCCTGCAGCTGAGAGTGCAGGTCAGGAAGGGGGTGAGGTTTCCCAAGACCAGGGGTGCCCAGGACACGGGAGGCAGCGTGGCTCTCTGGCCAACCTGGAACCAACCTGCTGTCCTTCCCCTGGCCTCTCAGGACCTGGTCTCCAATCCCAACCTTTGTCCTCAGTGAGGTCAGAGGACCAGTGTCAGGGCTGAGGGACCTTCCAGATGAGTCAGTCCCTGCTTCAGCTCAAAGATGATGAAATGAACTCGGGCTGGTTATTTGACCTGGCAGCACCTGGCTGGGAAGGGGCAGTGCCAGAGTCCAGGGCTCCCCTTGAATATACTTTTTAGACTCTGTTCCTGCAAGTGGCATTGCAAAAATGGATTTTATCTTAAAATACGTGCAGTTCTATGAAAGGAATACTGTCCTGCCTACATGGCCCCAGGCATGAACCAAATCTGAATCCTCTTCTAGTTTTTGGATTATAATCTTTGGTTTGGAACTTCTCCACTAGAGCTGCTCTCTGCTGGTCTGTCTGCAAGTTTGGTTTTCTTCCGTGGATGCCTCAGTAGGTAATGTATAACAGTGATTCCTGACACAAGCTCAGTTCAGTTCAGTTGTTTCTGACTCTTTGCAACCCCATGGATTGCAGCACGCCAGGCTTCCCTGTCCATCACCAACTCCTGGAGCTTGCTCAAACTCATGTCCATCAAGTCAGTGATGCCATCCAGCCATCTTATCCTCTGTCGTCCCCTTCTCCTTCTGCCTTCAGTCTTTCCCAGCATCAGGGTCTTTTCCAACAAGTCAGTTCTTTGCATCAGGTGGCCAAAGTATTGGAGTTTCAGCTTCAGCATCAGTCCTTCCAATGAATATATAGGGTTGATTTCCTTTAGGATTGACTGGTTTGATCTCCTTGCAGTCCTCGGGACTCAAGAGTCTTCTCCAACACCGCAGTTCAAAAGCATCAATTCTTTGGTGCTCAGCTTTCTTTATGGTCCAATTCTCACATCCATACATGACTACTGGAAAAACCATAGCTTGGACTATATGGACCTTTGTCAGCAAAGTAATGGCTCTGATTTTAATATGCTGTCTAGGTTTGTCATAGCTTTTCTTCCAAGGAGTGAGCGTCTCAGCATAGTACCTTTCACACAGCCCGCCTCTTCCATGCTTGTGAGTGGTCAGGAAGACCCCTGAGTGTGGAGCTCTGTCCCCAGCCGTGTGACAGCCCTGGCTGGCTGTGGCCAGGGGAGACACAGGCTGGTGGCCCCAGGTTATCCTACCTTATCTGGAGCCCCTGGTTCAGTTGCTGACACTGGCAGGTGTTGGGTCCAGGTGTGTGGCATCTCCCTTATCCTCCATGACCCTGAGCCCAGTCAGCCCTGAGACTCTCAGCCTGGTGGCTACTGTATCTGGACTGCCCACCCACCCCTGTGGGCTTTGATGGGGTGCTGCTGCTCCATGAGTACGCATGGGGAGCAGCCTGACCTTGACATTCTAGTTTCCTGAGCCATGAACTTGAGGGCAAGCAGATTTCTAAGGCCCCATGGGCCCCGTGGAGAGTGGCCTCTGCGCTGGTGGAGTTTCCTGGACCTCACAGTAGATTGGCTTTGAGACCCAGTGATCTGTGTGATTTGCTTTGACTCACTGAACACAAATTATGAATTAGCAGCTTTTTTGATTATCGGGTGTTTAATAAAGTGGCCTGAGGCCATACTGATACTGGTCGCTTGTGGGAATGCGCTGTCGTGGTCCAGAAGAAGGTGCAAGAGATGTCCCAAAGGACTTTGAGATCCCACCTGCTTGCCCCACAAATGGTGGAGGCCATCAGAGCTGCCCAGGCCCAAGATCGGGCTGTTGTTAATTCCCAGAACCAACTGTCTAAGAAGCTTGTGAAATTATCACCTAGTGACTTGATTACTAGCACCAAGACACACCTCTGTTATTGTACATCTCACCTACTAATTAATTCATTACTAAGTGGGCCTTTCTTGAGTGCCCCCCTACACCCCCAGGCTCAGACTGGTAGCCAAGTACAAGCTCTTTAGGAAGCTTCTTTCTGGGTGTTAAGTTCTCCTAGTTAGTATCAACCAGCAGCCCTGATGAAACATTAAAACAGAAGGGATACAGCATAATCAAGGATACTCAGAAAATTAATGTTACAATTAACTTGCCTTATTATCTATTAAACCTTCTTGCTTACAAATCTAAAATGGACTTCCCTGCATTTTTCACCTACCTCAGAATTTATTGTTCCACTGGACTGATCTTTTCTTCCCCTAGGGCCAGGAACTAAGAACTTCTGTCTCCCTTCCCACCTCTCAATTTCTACCTTCTGCTCCCAAAACCACACCCTTGAGAGGAGAGGTCTGTCTACCTCTGACAGGCCCTCAGAGAATCAAGGCAGGGAACCTGGGGCAGCCTCAGGGGAGTAAGAGGCACCAGACCTGGAAACTGGCCTTATTGGAGAAGATTCACAGCCAGTGGACTTAGAGAAGTGGGAGCAACTAGAACCTTTGTTGTTGTTCTGTTGCTAAGTGGTGTCTGACTCTTTGCGACCCCATGGTCTGCAGGATGCCAGGCTTCTCTGTCCTTCACTGTCTCCTGAAGTTTGTTCAGACTTATGTCCATTGAGTTAGTGATGCCATCCAACCATCTCATTCTCTGTTGCTCCCTTCTCCTGCCTTCAGTCTTTCCCAGCATCAGGGTCTTTTCCAATGAGTTGGCTCTTTGCATCAGGTAGCCAGAGTATTGGAGCTTCACCTTTAGCATCAGCCCTTCCAATGAATACTCAGGGTTGATTTCCTTTAGGATTGACTGGTTTGATTTCCTTGCTGTCCAGAGGACTCTTAAGAGTCTTCTCTAAACTGCAATTAGAAAGCATCAGTGCTTCAGTGGTCAGCCTTCTTTCTGGTCCAGCTCTCACATCCATACATGACTACTGGAAAAAATATTATTCTTGCCTTGCAAACCCCATGAACAGTATGAAATTAGAACCTGGTCCAGCCCAAAATGGGGCCAAGTTGGGTCAGAGATTGGAGCCGTCAGCTGCCAGCTCCTGGAAATGTGGTTTGGATGTCAGGTCCACAGTCAAAGTTACCTCTGGCAGCCTCTGGGAGCTAGGGACCAGGGACACCTCGGGCAGACTGCAGGGTGCCAGGGCTGGGGAAACAGCCTCTTGATACCCAAAGAAGCCCTTGGTGCCAGGACACTGAGCTCACCAGACTGACATTAGATCCCAAACCCCTTCTTCTGCTTCCTGTAGCTTTAGTTCCTTGTGAGATCTGGATGTTGGTGCTGGCCACCCTCTCACCAGGTGGCAGGTGAATTGGCTCAGAGGATGCACGTGAATACTAGAAGTCTGTAACCTGTGACTCACATGTTAGGTAGCACTGTGACAACGGAATCAGCCTAGGACCTCTTCTGGTCTCCTGTGACATTCCCTATGACCTGTAGCTGTTAGGATTATACATGCCTGGCCAGTAGATCTCGTTCACTTTCCTCCCCAGCTATTCAGCACAGTGCCTAAATGCACCTATGAAGTAAGGATAAGTGGTCGTTGAACGAGTAAGTGGGTGAATGGATGAGTAATGGAGGGACAATTCAGGCCTCGAAGTGGGTGGGATGGGCCAACTTGGCTACCATGTAAAGGAGGATGAGAGAACAGTGGTCCTCCTACCAGCCTTCCAGGCCTGGAGCCACACCCTTGAATAGCTTCAGGCATCCATGGTTCGAGGGCAGGGTCTGCTCCAGGGATCTGAATACCCGCTCAAGGCCAGAGGCTCTGCCGGGCACCCCCCTGGACCTTGGGCAACTTAGGGGTGAATTTTGGTCCCCTCCCTCTCCTGAAGGCGGGCTCTGACCATTGTCCTTTCCTCTCCTCCTCCTTGGCATGCAGATTCTGGCCAACATCTTCCTCTACCTGTGCGCCATCGTCGTGGGCATCATGTCCTACTACATGGCAGACCGCAAGCACCGCAAGGCCTTCCTGGAGGCCCGCCAGTCTCTGGAGGTGAAGATGAACCTGGAGGAGCAGAGTCAGCAGCAGGTCAGGCTCTCTGGGGAAAGCTTTGGGGCAGTACCTTGGGACCCCAGTTTGGGGCCTGTCAGAAGGGAGTGAGCCCAGTTACTTCTGGGTCTCCAGGGCTCAGTGGGGCTTGGAGTTTGAATTCTCTTTCACTAGCGTTGTTGTTCTTCAATTGCTCAGTTGTGTCCAGCTCTTTGCGACCCCATGGACTACAGCACACCAGACTTCCCTCTCCTTCACTGTCTCCTGGAGTTCGCTCAAACTCATGTCCACTGAGTCGGTGATACGATCCAACCATCTCATCCTCTGTCACCCCCTTCTCCTCCTGCCTTCAGTCTTTCCCACCATCAGGGTCTTTTCCAGTGAGCTGGCTTTTCGCATCAGGTGGCCAAAGTATTGGAGCTTTGGCATCAGTCCTTCCAATGAATATTCAGGATTGATTTCCTTTAGAATTGACTGGTTGATCTCCTTGCAGTCCATAGGACTGAAGAGTCTTCTCCAGCACCACAGTTTCTTTGGAGGCATCACTCTTATCCCTCTGTCACTCCATCTTGTGCAGATTCATGCTACCCACCTACTGTGTGCTCAGGGCTCCCTGCGGTGGGGCGGGGGTGGAAGACACATTCCCTGGCCTCAGGGTCCTTTTGGGTGAAGTTTGTCATCCCCTCATCCCTCCTCCTATGGGCACTGTTTCCTTTGACTCAGGGCAGGCTTCCCACCGCCTTCTCCTGCTAAGTCATTTGTGAACATGGTAAAACCAGCCCAGCCCCTGGGGACCCCACTGTTTACATTTTTCCACTGAGAAGTGCCTGCTGTCCCCACGCTGTGTTTACTGGCTTCACTCCAGCCTCATCCACCGCAGAAGCTCCCTGCTCTCATGTGACTGAGTCTTTTAAATAGTTTTTGGTCTGGATTCATCTCAGATGCTTTTTGAAGGCCTTCAGAAATTTCATCCACCAGTTTCCTGTTCTCCATAGGTTGTCTTCCCCTGAATAAATGAACTTAGTAGGTTGAAAATATATGCCTCTCTGCTCTGGGAACCATGTCATGTTGTGTTCAGGTGATGCTGTTTGCTCTGGGATCGGCAGCTTCACTGAAATTGCTGTTTTCCTGGACCTTGCCACCCAGGTGGGCAGGGCAGTAGTTTTGGGGGTTCCATTGGTGAACCCCACATTCTCCAGACAGTGCTGTTTTAATGCACACGCTGACTCATTTAGCTGGTGTGTCCTGGCTCCCTCTGTCCTGGGCGTTCCTTCTCTCTCTCTTTACCAATGAGATCTGGAAGCTTCTGAGCTGAGCCTTGGACTCATCTCTTTCAGAAGACAGGCTTTAGAAGGGGAACCATCCTGACTTCCATGGTGACAAGGGGCCATCACACCTGTCCCCTTCCCCTCGTCCCTGTGTCCTGTCATTATGGAGGAGCTGCTGCGGCTGGAACGTATTTAAAGAATCCTGCTTTACTGGCTTTATTGAGCCCCTTCAAAGGCATTCTTTAATTTCTGCCTTCTATACTGTCTTGGTTCTTGTTTGCATTTGATCTCTCATACTGTGGAGGCATCCCGCTGTGTTCTCTACATTAAAAAAAAAAAAATGTGTGTGTCGCCACTTAGCCAGACTGGAGGGTTCTTTTTTATATAGTCTTTGCAGTTTTGACCATACTCATCTCTGTTGATCTTGTCAGTCTCATTGTGTATAATCCAGGACATCTTCAATCACGTTCCACGGTGCTTGGTGGGGGCCTTCTGGGATGGTGAGAAAGGCCCTGTGTCTCACCCTGGGTCTGTTATTCTCTGCATGGATGATTTGGACAAGTTATCCACCCTGTAGAGCCTCTCTTTCCTTATCTTCAAAGTGGGAGTATTCCTACTCCAAAATGGAGATGTTGATGATCATCATCTTGCTAAGGGTTCCTTGAGGGTCAAATGAGAAACACAGACAGAAGTGCTTTGTAACTTGGAAAGCTGGGAGTGGTGATGGTCAGGCCACTAGGCCTGCTTTCTAATGCCCGGGCCGTATGCTCGCTCCTGGCAGGGTCAGTGCAGGGAGCCTGGGGCCTGGCAGAGAGAACCACCCCTGTGTGCTCCAGGCCTTCTGGACACTATGGAGCATCCAGAGGGTGCCTGGCTGTCTGCCCAGGCCGTGTGGCAGCAGCAGGGCAGACACTGGCCCCGGAATGAGAGGTCCAGGGAGGCCGAAGGGAGGTGAAGGGAGAAGATGGACACACCCCCAGGCCTTGCTTGGATGCAGCAGGTGCCTGTAAATGCCCATCAAGTGGACTTTAGCCTGAGTGTGCCCTTGGGCTAGTTCTTTCCCCTCTTTGGGCCTCAGTTTCCCTATATGTGAAGTGTAGATGATAATACATTTGTAGGTAAAATGGGATAATCTGTGTCAATCCCTTTGAGGATGAGAAAAGCACTGGAGTGCTGCCACCTGTGAGTCAACATTTGCTCATGTTTTTCTTTAGGATTTTTGTGACTATGTACATGAGACCTGCTTTCCATTTTAACTTTCTGTCTGTGTCCTTGACAGGTTTGGGTATCATGGTTATGCCAATTTATTAACTGGAGAAATGTTCCCTCTTTTAGGTTACTCTTTTAATGTTTAGAAGAATTCACTTGTGAAGCCCTGTTGGGTCTGGAGTTTTTCTTTATGAGGAGATTGGTTCCTCTAAAAAGTAAGGGTCTACATTTCCTTTTGTGTGGGTTTTGGAAAGTTTTTGTTTTTTCAAGAACTTATCCATTTCATCTAAGTTTTCAAATTGTTGCTATATGTGTATTGTATTTTATCTCTATGTGTCATTGTCTATGGAATTTGTGTTTCTTTCTTCATTACTGATATTGGTAATGTGTGCCTTCTATTTTTAAATTTTTTCTTAATCTGTTTTATTAAGGTTAATTCACATTTTAGCCTTTTCAATGAAACACCTTTTCAGTTTTTTGTACATTTCTATCTTTCATTAATTTATACTTCTAATTTTGTCATTTTCTTCTATTTTCTTTGGGATTAATTTGGTGTTCTTTTTTATCTTCTTGAAATGGAACTTATATATAGCTAATTTTCAGCATTTCTTTTCTAAAACATGTACTTTTGCTATAGATTTCCCTCGTTATGTTGCCTTTAGCTTTATCCCACAAGTTTCAATATGTCATATTTCTGTTGTCAATTAGTTCAGTTTTCTAAATTCTAAAATTCATATTTTCTAAATCCATTGAGGTGCTTTTGATCCATGAACTGTTTCACTCAGTTCAGTCACTCAGTTGTGTCCAACTCTTTGTGACCCCATGAACTGCAGCACTCCAGGCCTCCCTGTCCATCACCAACTCCCGGAGTCCACCCAAACCCGTGTCCATTGAGTCAGTGATGCCATCCAACCATCTTATCCTCTGTCGTCCCCTTCTTCTCCTGCCTTCAATCTTTCCCAGCATCAGGGTCCTTTCCAATGAGTCAGCTCTTTGCATCAGGTGTCCAAAGTATTGGAGTCTTAGCTTCAATATCAGTCCTTCCAATGAACACCCAGGACTGATCTCCTTTAAGATGGACTGGTTGGATCTCCTTGCAGTCCAAGAGACTCTCGAGTCTTCTCCAACACCACAGTTCAAAAGCATAAATTCTTCTGTGCTCAGCTTTCTTGATAGTCCAACTCTCACATCCATACATGACCACTGGAAAAACCATAGCCTTGACTAGACGGGCCTTTGTTGGTAAAGTAATGTCTCTGCTTTTTAATATGCTGTCTAGGTTGGTCATAACTTTCCTTCCAAGGAGTAAGCATCTTTTAATTTCATGGCTGCAGTCACCATCTGGAGTGATTTTGGAGCCCAGAAAAATAAAGTCAGCCACTGTTTCCATTGTTTCCCCATCTATTTGCCATGAAGTGATGGGACCAAATGCCATGATCTTAGTTTTCTGAGTGTTGAGCTTTAAGCCATTAGGAGTACATTAATTAATTTCCAAATAGCTGGGGATTGTTTAAAAGTCATCTTTTTTTTTTGCCATACCATGTGGCCTGAGGGATCTTAATTCCCCAACTAGGGACCAAACTGATGCCCCTGCATTGGGAGTACAGAGTCTTAACCATTGTACCCCCAGGGAAGTTCCTAAAAGTTATCATTTTATTGTTGATTTTTAGGCTAAATTGACTGTGGTCAAAGAACATGCTCTGTATGACTTTGGCCACCTGATGCAAAGAGCTGACTCATTTGAAAAGACCCTGATGCTGGGAAAGATTGAGGGCAGGAGGAGAAGGGGATGACAAAGGATGAGATGGTTGGATGGCATCACTGACTCAATGGACATGGGTTTGGGTAGACTCCTGCCATTGGTGATGGGCAGGGAGTCCTGACATGCTGCGGTTCATGGGGTCGCAAAGAGTCGGACACAACTGAGCGACTGAACTGAACTGTTTGATTTTAGCTCTTTGAAATTTGTTGGAACTTGATTTTTGACCTGGCAAGTGTAAGTATCAAAATGCCTTTCAAAAATGAAATAAGATCAATAAATGTCAATTATGACTCATTTGCATCTACCCCAAAGTATTTTTGCCTCTTTGGTCACAATGCAAAGACCTCACAACACTTAATTCCCCCTCCCCCAGATTTTCTAGCCACTGTAATGTATATTATTATTTATGTATTTCAGGTTTTTTAAAAATTGGGATGTGGTTAATCTACAACATTTTCTTAGTTTCAGGTGTACAACATAATGATTCGATTGTAATGTATTTTAATTCAACATATATTTTAAACCCCACAAAACAGTCTTACACAATTATTGTTTTTTTATAGTTAATAGTCATTACTTATGTTTCCCCATATTTTACCCTTGGTTATACTCCACTTCTTCATTGCCGTGCTTCCACCTTCTGGAGGAATTCCTTGTAATACTGCTTTTCATGTAGGTCTGTTGGCACTAAATTCTCCCCCATTTTTAATTGCTAGAAGAGCTTATTTTGATTTCAATTTTGAATGCCACTTTTTAATCAGATAAAGAATTTTAGGTTGCCAGATTCTTACTTTCTGCCC